GGTGAATTATTAGCTTAGCATCCACCCCCTAGATATCTGAAATGGGAAAGTTGATATATCGTACGACATCCCGAAAGAATTACGTATCAAAATTACTTGAGAAGCCCATAATATCTTCAAAAGTTAGTTATATCTATTGAGAAAATTTCATACGTCTATCATGACATTTTTAGATGAAAGTATTTTACGCAAAGTTGTATCGAATATGTTAAAAAAAGAAATGCAAAAAGAAATAATATTCTGATTAAATCCATAGCTCAATCATTGCTTGATCGATATCGTTGAAATATCGTAAACGATGCGATTCTTTAGTAATATATACAAATATGGTTTGATGATGAAAATCTGTTCACGGGATTAACATTTGATGAATATTTCTAAAGTGATTAGAAGATTCAGGGAAAATTGTCGAAAATTTATTCGTCGAGGAGCACCGCGCCATTCATACGGATGACTATTAACATTGCGAATTGGAACAAGGTGGAAGGTCCAAATTTACATTTTGCATATAGTTTCAAATAAATACGGAAAGCACATACAAATTAATTTTTACCAAGATTATATACTTATATATTTTAGCAATATATAAACATATTTTTTTTCTTATAAGAGCAGAAAAGCAAAACTGATATTTTCGTGTGTTTTAATAGATTTATATTGAAATTGTTGCTTTGTGGTTCTGGAATGAAAAAAAAACACTTATTTCATTGCTTTTTCGATAGATTGCAACATGCATGCTGCTGATAACTGTGAATAATTTACATTCTATATTATATCTTAATTATATCGCATTACATATCAATTATTTCTATTGGTAAACAAAAATGTTGCAGAGTTTATATTGATATCAAATATAATGTTAAGCTAAACGCGCTTAAAAAAATTAAATATACATTATTTAGTCAAGAATAAGTAAGGTAAATATATATATATATCTATATTAGAGCCACATAAAAAATTTATGATTAGTATATGCCACTCTATAAAGTAAATATTATACTTAATGTAGCACTCGATAAAATTTAAATTAACTACGATATTTCTCTGGTGCAAAAAATCCTAATTAATTTCAATTTATTAATTCGATTGTATCTACCAGGTACTTTGTAATAAACAGGACTTGGGCAATCATCATTGCTTATGCCTGAAAGATAAGACATCATTGCCTGCATGTTTAAAGTACAATTCTCTGCATATTTATTTTCAATCCAATATGCCGTTAGATTAAAAGTAAACAATGCCTAGAGCACTCTGTGTTGCGTTTATCGCTCAACAGTCATTTTAATAGTCTCGGACATAAGCAATAGTAACATTCAAGTCCAGCTATAATAAGATTACATTATCCACTTTATAATGATACATGACGTGGCTTTACAAGAGAAATGCTTCGCTGAATTCTATTTGGCATACTTTGTGATCGACATAATTACTGCATGGTTCTCCAATAATCAATGAGGAATGTCAGTGGCACATATTACGTATACATATGTATATATACTTTGTGCGCGTTTTAACATATCGGTGATATAACTGTTTTTTTAATTTTTAAAAATATAATCAAGAATTTATTAATTTCAAGAAAGTTGATGAAAAAATGTATTGATGAAAAAAATAAACATTTTATAATATTCCTCTGCTGAACCGTCTTATCTATGGAATATCACAGCGTACTTTTATTCGATTTCGTTATTATAAAGTTTACTTATAACATACTAAGCCAATGAGAAAAACGTATTCATGTACACACACATACACACATATACATAAAAAGTATAAAACTGACCTCAGATATAATATTATACATCTTTTTCCGAAGAAAAAATACAATGTACTCCCAACGAGTGTAATGTGTCAAAGCCTTTCCTACTGCTTTTTTCTCTATTTCGAATGTCATAATACATATTCGTTAACATCTAACTATGTTCGTCATTGTCCAAGTGCGAAACAAATTTTGTTTTACATTTAAGTTATTATTTTATCACAATGTTTCAACAATTCTAAATAATATATCCATTTAAAAGTTCTATAGAAGTCAGATTTGATCTACAAAAAACCTGCTTTTTTAACAATATTAAAGATACAAAATAAAATGAAAAAATATGACAAACCAATCGATGTAATAAAATTTTATATGCCTTTTTGTGAATGTTTTTCGTAGAAATTTCAGTTGCAAATTGTAATTTTGATATCGACAATTATCATATTGTTCTTAGCGAATAAAAATCATGAAAAAAGATATTTATCTCACAACATGCTAATATTGTAATAATCAAAAATAAATATTTTTTTTATCTCAAATGATTATAAAACATTAAAACATATATTTCCTTACATTTTTGCTCATAAAACCTTACGATCTTTTTCCCCAATTTTTACAATTGGACACTTTGATTTTCTCTAACATAAAATATATCTTGTTCTGTGATTAAGAAAACAGCAAGTTTAATAAACTTTTTTTTCAACTAAAAGATTACTTTTTACTTTTCAAATTCTAAGAAAATCGCTAGAGAGAATCGTATTTCAAAAAATATTTTTCCTTTTTTATTCTAAATAATTTTAAAATTTATTTATAATAATAGATATAAAACTTTCATAGAATTTTAATTAATTTTAGATGAAACCTACATTTTGGTTACTCTCTGATTCTCTAATGTTTATTACTTTTTTGCTCTATTTTTCTATTATTTTATATTTGCAAAATTATATGATTATGCATAAACTGAGAAATGCACTCGAAAAATGGTAAACAGTAGAAAAGATTTGGATTATTTAAATCACCGTTTGATAAATAAAAAATTTGAATTCGATCTAATCATCCCGAAGGTAAAAAATAAGTAAAAGTAAATATAAATATATAGAAGAAACACTAACATTAAAAATCACAGCTATAATGAAACAAGAGAAAAAAACAAAAAACTCTCTATAAACAAAATTATAATTCTATAAAAACAGAAATCTAAAAACAAAAACAATAGAAGAATCAAAGAGTAATTAACACAGAAGAAAAAACTTGATTACAATTCCAATCATATAATGTTTTCGGTGTGAAAATTTGCTTTCTATAATTATAAAAATCCATATGATACAGTAGTCTACCCATACAGCAATAAAAATCTGCGAGATAAAGATATTAAAATCATCTTGTTGCAAACATCGCAATATTTTCTTACAAATGTATATTATCAGTTTATTATAATAAATACATCTTTGAAATGTATTCTGAAACATGATGTTCAGAAGGTATTTTAATAGATTTGATGAAGAGAATATCTAAGGTAAGAAATGTATAAAAATAATAAAGAGAAAATCCGACAACATCCCAAGAATATTTTAGACGTTATAGTAAAAAAAATATATATATATATGTACAGTATTATGTATAATATACATAATATGGCAGTGATTATATTAGCATATTTTAAAAATATACTTTATATAGATATCTTATGCTTTCTCCCTCTCTTTCTCTCTCTCAAAAATATTACGATTTTTCAGGATATGTCAAAACCCCGCAGATTTTTTTATTGTGTGGGTAACCAGCGAATCAGATTTACCGCTAATTTTCTATTTCAAAAAAATGCAAGTAAGAATAGGTACATATCAGATCTTTATAAAATATTCTAAATATCTATAAATTATTGATTAAATGGAAGTAAAAAAATTCTTCATACATTCTTATAATGTTGTTTACAAGTTGTTGGAGGATCAATAAGAGATTTAAATACATGCTTTCTTCCATTTACGTTTTTCAAAGAGAGAGAAATTCATATATACAAAATATAATATTATTTTATATATATATAACAATATTATATTTTGTATATATGAATTTCTCTCTCTTGTTATATATATATATATATATATATATATATATATATATACATACATATATATAAAATTTAGTAAATAGATAATTGTGATTTCATATTTAATTTTTGTTATTTACCTTGCAATTATTAGTAATATCTTTGTATTCAGTTTTGTAATATACCTTTTTATTAAACAAAATATTTTTAATATTAATTTAACATTATATAAAATGAATCTATTTCCAATGCACCAAAATGGCATTAAAAATAAAATGTAGCACGGTTCACATATTTTTATTAAGATAATTATAAAGTTCTAACTAACAACCATTGGTATAGGATCAGAGGAAAGATTAATAATACAGTTCAATAAAAAAATCTCAAAAAAAGTTTCTTATATTTTTCTAAATGATTTTGATGTTCTGTACGACTAAGATGTTCTATTATCGTCATAATTTTGAAGAATTTGAGATTAATGTGATTAATCATTTTTTAGAGTAATTTATGCTATTATTATATCCAGGTAGCAAGATGACGTCTCCAGACGTCTAATGACGTACAATGACATCATTAAAACGTTATTAAGATGTCATTTGACATCACTCTGCTACCTGGGTACGATATAATGAGCTAAACAAAATGTTGTTCTGTTAAAACACATTTAAATATCAATGTATTAAAAGTTTCAATTTTTAAAAGAAATTGTAGAAAAATTTAAATTTTTATAATATTGCACATATATATATATATATATATATATATAAATATTGAATCTATAATAATAGCAGTAGCAGAGAAAGATTGGAATTACCTATTTTATGATCATCATATTAAATTCATTATTTTAAATTAAATTTTTACAATTTGTCACACATACATACATATACCCATACAATATTAAAATCTAAACGATCTCTACATATAATTTTGACTTTTACATTATTTTCACTATTTTGAATGTCAATTTTGTCATTACATTTAATGACTAGAAAAATCTTCAAATTCAAATAAATAAATGCAATGGATTTGTTCATCTTGATAACTTGATCAAATTATAATGCACACCTATAAATAAAAATTTAATCATTTACCTATAAATAAAAAATTTAATCATTTATGAAAAAAAACTCACTTAACTATCACTAACACTAATCTTTGCAACAAATTCCTCTCTAAAATTGTAAAAATTATTATAATAATACACTTAATTCCAAATAAAAAAACTTTCAGTGTTCTCATATATATTACATAGATATAGTGTAGTAAAGTATTTTACAAAATCGTTTTTTTACAACCTTAGTTTCAAAATTATGACACTATAGAACATTTTTAAAACCGAAATTACATTCAGAAAAGCAAAGTTACAGGGAATAATTGTTTTTTTCTTGGATTAGGAAAAAGCTTATTTTTTATTGAACTGCAATTATTTAATCAAATAGTAAAACATAAAATTGAAAAGATGTATGCTTGTCTTTTTTACTATTATTTAACATTCCTCATTGATATCAACAATGGGTAAAAAAAGTATTCACACGCCTCATATTTCTCGGATAATTTATAATACAAAAGAGAAATCCCTACTTTATTAGACACATTTAAATAAAAATATTAAATAAAGTACTAAAAAATTAAGGTAAATTCATCAAAAATAGTTTACAAGATATTTCATTAGATGTCATATTTATATTAAGACAAGAAATATGAAATAGCTATAAAATGTTTCGTAAATGTCTATAAACATTAATAAAAGAATACAAACAGAATAAATTTTTAAAGATATTTAATAACATATATTTTCATTTATATTAGTATAAAAAAAGAGTATTTTTTTAGTAATATTTCCCATTTTGTTTCTAACTCCAAAGAAAAAATTCCAAGAAAACGAAGTATGCAGATATTCCATTTATCCATCGTATAACAAAATTATGATACAAAACATGGTGGTTGTGTCATTGAATTAAAACTATATAATATATAGATGCGCTAACTACATGCTAGACTCCTTGGTAGTAATAATCTCGTTGGTGTTATCAACTCGAATCAAAGTAGATGAATTTAATACAAGAGTCCTACTGAGAGTAGCAACTCGTTCTACTACGCACGAAGCGGAAAGGCGTGCTTCGGCATCATGATCCCAACATTCTTCCATTGTATCACAAATTGATAAAAGTCCCTGAAATAACACATTTCAATTATAGCTATGTATATACTGCTTTCTTCAACTCTTTTTTTTTGTTTGAAAAAACTATCTTCTGTTAAGGAAAAAACTTCATCATTTGCAACATTTATAAATATAAATGATTAAAGAAAACGTGAGTTTTTAAGAAATATCAGAAAATACTCAAAAATACTTCACAAGCTTTGTAATACAACTTTAATCTAAGATTTTCCATTTTTTAATTTTATACACCTCACATTATTATAAAATCTTTAAAAATCTCTTTTTATTCCAGAAAAGCATTCTGTTTAGAATGGTTTCTAATGTACAGAATATATATATATGCATTAATGTAAAATTTTTTCGCTATTTGTTAATGTTAAATAATAAAAAAGATTTAAAAACAGAAATTTGTCTCTTTCCTTTACATATTTTTACTTACTGGATGTTTACGCCAAGTTTCTAAAATGAGCGGTCTTTCTTTTTTATGAACAACGCTTTCTTGCATATCTTCTAAAGTAGGATGAAGGCCGACTTCGTCCTCAAATGGTAGTCGATATTCTCCTATTGGTCCCTAATATTAAAATAAAACAATTAGTTATTTTTGAAATGCAATTAACTTATATTTTGTAATTTATTATAATAAGTTTTTGAAATAAACACACAGATTTACAAAGTGATATAGACACAATATAATTCATGTAAAAATTTTAAATATATATTTATTTCTTATGAGTGATTATAATAAAACATGTAAAATGTTATAAAATTTTTTCATTTATCATTGTATTCATCACTTTAATTTTATGTATTTTTATTAAATAATTTTAATAAATTTCGGAACTATATCGTATATTGCAATTAATTTTCTATATAAAATCTTTTATAATATAGATAGTTTGGAAACATATGATAAATTCTGGTAGAATTTTAATGGATTCGATTTTTCATATCAATATTAAGGTATTGCACATATAATACATAACATACACATACATCTTGTACAGTACATCTTGAAGCTAATTCCCATAGCACTAGCCCACAAGCATACATATCGATCCGTAAAAATGAATCTCTAGTAAAATTTATTGCCCCTTCTAAAACCTCTGGTGCCATATATCTTCGTGTCCCAACCTATTATATAAACAAAAGTAGTATAAAAAAAGAGATTATTTTCATATTCATTTAATAAAAAAAAGAAACATGCTAATTTATATGCATTACCTGTCCATGTGTATCGCCACAAGGTTTTCCTGGGTGAAAAATAAGTGCCAAGCCAAAGTCTGCTATGCAGGCACTCATGTCAGCCTTTAACAAAACATTTTTTGACTTAAAATCCCTATGAGCTACAGCTGGCTTATAACCATCCGCTTTATTAGCCGGGATTTCTTCATGTAGATGCATTAAACCTCTAATAATAATAATAATAATTTTATGAAGATTTGAATAAAAAATTATAGTTTAAATACAAAAGTATCATTACATGCATACATGCATATGATTTTGTTCTCTTAAATTATCTTAGTTATTATAAATTACAATTATTACCTTGCCATGGATTCTGCAATTCTACACATCTCAGGCCATGTTACAACATTTGCTTTCAAGTAATCGCATAATGAACCTTTCTCATGATATGCTGTGATTAACCAAAACTCAGCTTGTAAATTGTCTCCACGTTTTTCAACACCTATAAAATGTAATATATCCTCATGATCCATATGTGCAAGCTTAAAAATTTCTTGTTCAGTTTGCCATGACTGTTTGTCTTGAATGGGGAAAACTTTAACTGCCACAATCTCATTTTTCAATTGAGCTTTCCAAACTGCTCCAAAACGACCTCGAGCTTTTATCTCAAGCAGTTGTATCGGACGTAAACCTAAATTAGGTGATGGTGGTGGCAATGGAAGTGGTTCCAATGTTGGTATCTAAAAAAGATTTATATTAATCTCATAAACTGATAATGATACAATTTAGTACTAGTTTTATAATAATCTCAAGATATACAACCTCATTAAAATACATCAATCTTTGACGACGACAGAACCACCACAAAGACAATGAACCAAATGTAAGAAGCATAGGAATTAATATCAATAATGTAAGTGTTATTGCTTGCTTCTCGGTATTGGATATACAGTCAGTCTCTAAAAAATTAATTATTATTAAAGTAATATTATAAAAGTTAAAATAGTTAAAAGTTAAAAGTTAAAATATATTATAAAAGTTAATAGATAAGTAGTAAATTTATAATAAATTTATTAACTGCTCTCAAACAAAAATTATTAAATATTAGATAACATATGATTAAATAAAACACCTTTAATAACAGGTGGTTGTGTAGGTTTGGAGGTTGTAGTTGGATATACATTTGAAGAAAAATGTCGGTTACACATATCAACATCGCAACAACAAAAATATAAATCATTTTTTCTTTCAGGATTATTCTCTATGCATTGCGACTTGTCATAACAATCATTACTATCCAAAAAGCAACCCTGAAAATTTGATATAAATTACATTTGGTATAAATTACACAGATTCCAATATAATTTAATAAGAAAATAAAAATATATAAAAAAAAAATGGCATAAGAGCCAATGCATGGTAGTTGGAGCGCAGAGAAGCAACAACACTTCTATCTTTTTTTCAATATTAGTATATTAAAAAACACATTATAATAACAAAATGTGTTTTTTAATAAACTAATATTGAAAAAAGAAAGAAGTGTTATTGCTTCTCTGCGCTCCAACTATTGCGTATTGTCTCTTATGCCAATTTCTTTTTGATTTTTTGATTATTTGAACCAAGTTTCTAATTACTAAAAATATATAATTATTAATTTCACGAAAAAAAAGACAATGACATTTCCTTTTTTCTAAAAAAAAAATATTACAAATTAATACTACATCCTTAGCTAATTTTAAATTTACATGTTTTATAATTGTAGTATTATTATAAATTGTTTATTCTTTAAAGATGTACTTCATCAAAATGTGATTTAACATGAACATTATTACATGGACATTGTTTTGTCAAATAAAATAGAATAATTTGTTCGAATTTGTTAAATAATGCAATTTGAAAAGCACAATTTGCAAAAAATTCATGAAATCTTGAAGCAATTTGAGTATATATAGTATTTCTCGGCAAGATCTACATTTTAAATTACTTAAGTTGAAATTAACATTTAATATTGTATTATATAACTTAAAAACAAATTACAAAATTATTATTGGTACATAATTATAATTTCTAGATATTTTATTCTATTTATGACACAATTATGTCTCAAACCTGAAGATCTATCTATATACCTGAAGGTCTACCCTAGACACTTGTAAAGTATACAAAAATATAAACTATTAAAATATAAATTATATATAATAAATTATATATAATAATTATTAATTAAAACTAACCTTCAATTTAAGTGTTGTTTTATTAGTAACACTGTCGACAGTCCATAGTACGTAACAATGATTACGCTTATCTCCATCTTGCACAGTACATTCTTCTGTCTCTGAACAATTTTTGTCAGGTTCTGTGCACGATGTTTCATTGTAAAATTCACAATAAGTTGAACCTTTAATATCTTTTCCAAATATAGTTCCTAGAATAATTTATTAAAATTCTATAATCTTTATATTTCACACAAAACATAATAAATTAAATTATTATTAAATGTCTTTTCCTGATATGTTTATATATAAAACATTAAGTAAAATTATAATCAATTCTTTTATATAGATTCTTACAATAAGATAATTTTTAACAATTCTTAATAATTTTGACTTGAACTATTTTTATATTATATATATAATATTAATGTTTTGAATTAATTATTAACAACTAACAATTTTTTGAACAATTTTTAACAATTTTAATTGTCTACATTAAATATTTTTATAATTAATATTTTCACACATACATAATAATTCAATTAAATTTATTAATTTTATTTTTAATAAAATTATTCACTAAAACTGAAGTATTCGTACAATAAAAAAAATTATTTTATTATATTTATATTATATTATTTTATTTATATTATATTAAAGTTTTAGTTTTATTTTATTATAAAAAACATAATTATCTTAACAATAGCACTTCTTCATTTGACAAACTTACAATTTGATATATGAAAAAAATACATATATCATTAATATATGTAATACAACAGGCATATTTCTCTTAAGCAAAAGTCTTTGATATATTTATAAAAGTCTTCCTTTTGAAAAATGTCAGTAGAATTTGTAAACTATAGATTATTAAAAGTGGAAAAATTTAACACAAGTGAATCTATGTTCAAAATAATTTACAATTTTAATGAAATATTTAAGAGATACAAGCAATAGATACAGTGCCATCTCTTTTTTTACTTAATTTCTTATATTGTTTCTATTTAAGATATAATTTTAAAATTTATTAAAATGTTTAAACTCGAGATAAGAAAAATTAAGAAAGCAGATAATTATCTGCTTCATTTTCAATTTTAATCAGTCAAAGAAATAAATTAACAGCAAATTTCTCAGAAAATGCATAATCAATAAATAACAGTATATTATATATAAAATTGTAAACTTTGTATATATATATATATATATATATATATATATATATACAGAGTTTACAATTGGAACAACATTACATTTCTATTCTGTTGAAAAATACAATGACAAAGTGCTACTTTTGCTAAGTTTTTATATTGTTTATTTTTTATGCCTGATACTTTTGTTATGCCTGTATACACATTTTATATATAAATATATGTAAAAATACATATATATATATATTTTATGTGTGTATATATATATATATATATATATATATATATATATATATTACCTAATAATCCGAAGAAGAAGAGAGACAATATCGTCGCATGTACGAACATCATGAGCGAATCGTAAAAGCATACCAGTAATTTTGAGTCTATTAGCTATTAAGCAAATTGTAGTAATTTATCCACCGACACATCTCTCTTCCTTTCTCTGTCTTTCTCTCCCCGTCTCTCTCCCTTCAGCTTTCTCTCTCTTCCACCTTTATATAGAAATACACGCGGCACAAATCCCGGTCATTTTCATTGTTAAATCATCGTGATTCTCGTAACCTCCGAGTGAGAAACATGCTTTTTTTTTCGGCGCGTTATCCAACAGCGCTAGCGACAAAATTAACTCACACGCGATTTCCTAGTTAAATTAAAAGTAGATTTGTATATTTGCGGTATTGAAGAAAAATAGTTTATGGCACGAAACGTGCACGCAAAAACGACGCGCGGACACTTACAAACCGTGCACACTTATCATCGACACGAGAATATGATACGGCGAAGCATAATATCGCAAGAACGAAATCTGATAAATAGAAGACATTTGATGTCTAAAGTCACGGTCTGCTTCTACATAATATGGCTGTCTAGCGATTTTTCCTTGGTCATCGACTAAATAATATTCGGGACCGCCAAACTTCCATATGATTTCAGATGATCAGCGTTTGCGACGCCCTCTCTTGCGAAAACCGCTGGAATAGAACCGTACATACATCAATATGGTGTGTCGTAACTCGATTCGACTTGAATTATTCATTTTTCCAATCACACGCTACCGTTAGTCATCGATGAGATAATATTAAAGATCGCTGATGTTTCGTATACAAAATTGCGCGCGAATCGCTTGCAAGAGTAAAATTTAAAATAAAAAGTACTCTTTACGCGACAAGATTTCAATTGAATGTATGAGTAATTGTTCAAATATATAATACAGGCTTTTATTTATTTATATACAAAAAAGAAGAAAAATGATTACATATATTAGTAATTTAGTAAATATAATGAATTAAAAAGTAAAATTTAAAATAAAAAATACTCTTCATGCGACAAGATTTCAATTGAATGTATGAGTAATTGTTCAAATATATACAGGCTTTTATTTATTTATATACAAAAAAGAAGAAAAATGATTATATATACTAGTAATTTAGTAAATATAATGAATCTCTCTTAAACTTGTTATATTTAATTAATATATCGAACCGCTAAATTATACATTAATATTTTACATAAAATCTCTTCTATTCTCATCAAATAAGATGAATAATATCGTAGACTGTATATATACATATAAATATACATTAATTTGATTTTTATTCCTAAGAATAACTTGGTAATATTATTTTGAAAGAAAATGGACCATTGGATCTTCGTCGCGTTTACGTTTCATTTGATATGCTTCTATCTCCTCGGTAGTCAATTCTTTTGTCTCATACATGCTGTTGTAGGGACGTTTCCTCTCGCTCATTTTCAATAGCTTCTCCATCTTCCTCGCATTTTCCTCTTCTTTTCTCAATGCTTCCTTCAGTTTGTCCTCATCTTGTTTCTCTTCATTTTGTTTCTTATTCTTGCGGCTTTCCTTCCGTTTTTGTTTCTTCAATTTTCGCTTAGCCGCTTTACTTTGCTTTTCTGTTTTAGTTTTTCCCGTATCTTCATCTTCGGACGAAGATTCGCTGCTGGAAGAACGATTGTCGTTCACCACCGTGTTGTCTAGTTTAGAGTTTGTTTCTTCCATTTCATTTCTCACGGATGGTACTTTATCCAGTGTCGAGCTATCGTTTATTGCCTCTGCTGCTCTCTTTCCAGACTCCCCGGTGCAATAGGAATTTTTAATGAAGGAATAGCAACACTTGTAGCCCCATTTTCCATCCTGCCAATAGGAACCCCAAACTGACATATGATTGTTTGGGTAAATATCTTCTTCGTACTTGGATCGTATCACCTGTCTATCCTGTCCTTTAATTATCTTACCGTATCTCGAATATTCGACATAGTGCTCCGTCTGTGCCAATAACAAAGACTTTGGTAATGCTTTGAGATGTTTCTCACCTCCATAACGCTCTATTATACTGTCGCGCGCCTTATCCTTCAACTCGTCGCGTTTCTTATCGTATTCCTGCTTTAATAATTCCAGTTTCGTAGGCTCGGCCAATAAATGTACGTCGACTCCTTTCTCGTGGGCTTCCCAAGCGAACAATTGCGCATTGGCATGTTGTTGCGTGTCTCCGGAAAAGCGTACAAAGTTTTCGCCCTTGTAATCTACCTCTCGCTCTGTACCGGTATATGGATTATCTCGCATAGATCTAGTCTTTGGATCGTAGTACGCAGAATTCGGATCTAGATTGCGCAGATACTTAGCAGTGTCCTCTCGAATTCGCAGATTTCTTACAGTAATGCGCTGTTTGGAGTCCACCTTTGTACCAGGCATGTCCACTTCATCTACATACTTATCCTCATCCTTGTCTGAATCTTGCTCGTCGTTCTCCTCCTCCGCATCGAGTTTGTCGGCACGCATTTGCCTCTTGGCTTCTTCTATCTTCTGATACTCCTCCACTATCGCTCTATGCTCGGAGGGATCGTAACCAGCCCATCTGTCTCTCTTACCGTCGTAATCCATAGAGAGCTCAGGCTGAGTAAATTCATCCGGTGCTATCTTTGAATTCGTATATTTCGCTCCGACCTTGCGCGGTCTCTCCATGCAATCTTTCCTCTTGTGAGTCATCGCGCCGCAATTCTCGCAAGCGCCCTTACGATACTTGATTGCCACCCGCGCGGAGTCCACTCCGCGATTATACCACTCGTCTATGGAACTGAACTGCCTCTGCTTCTCCGGCTGCGGTCTCTGATGCTTCAGGGTGGGACCCTGAGCGCCGAAGTACCATGGCGTCGCGCTGATGTATTGCGGAATGTGCGGGTTAATGTCTTTACCCTCCTCGTCGACGGCAGCGGGAGCAGTACCGGCCTTCCTCGCCTCCTCGAGCTCCTTTGCCTTTCGCCAGTCTTCCCTGCTCTTCTTCCGCGGTTCATCCTCGAATGAGCTCTTATTCTTCAAAATGCTCGACACAGTTACGTTTGCCGACGAATTTGCCATGATTGAAAATGGAAAATGGAAAATGTTACTGATATTTATTTTCGAAGGAACTCGAGGTTATGTTCGACTCTCATACACTCGTAAACTAGTAAAACACTTGCTTTGTCCCGATTGGAAATTGTAACTTTTAAATAAATGCCATCTATGTCGAACGTGCTGATTGGGTGTCGGTTAGGGAATTTCTAGGATTTTAAAAGTTTCTTTGGGTTTGTCCAAGTTTGACCATGTTGCGACAACCAGAGAAATTACAACCAATTATATCGATTTGTGCCTAGGATAACCAGCAACGATTGACCAATCAGAGAGTTCTTTTGAATTGGCGACATGATCAATCGGGTGCCAACCGTTTCTTTCAGCCAATTAGGACTGTGTTTAGAAATCCTATTGTGAAGTAGAGTGATATTTAACTTACCAATCGGGAAATATTCACTAGACATCATTGTCCAATCACAGCCACTCTTCCGAAGAATATATGATTACATTCTTCAGAAAAATGGCTATGATTGGTAATAACGTCTAGTAAACTATCCCAGAGCGACTAATTAAACCCGACCATTTGAAAATGCCATAAAGTTGACTTCACTTGTCAAATAGTATGTAGGTATATGGTTGTGTTTGTTTATATTCATAGTACTAGAAAGTTAGATCCAATTGTCATAATGTCATTATCGATTGTTAATATTTAATAATTATATTTAGCAAATAGAAGATAATACAACATGTGTGTAATTATTTGATATATTTGAAAACGAGCTTGCAATGCTTGATATGTCACAAAAATTACATTTGATTATAATCACACAGAACGTTAGAAGACAGTGCGAATAATACTCTGTATTAAGCTCACATTAATTACTATTGTACATATATTTTTGCACTTTTATCATTTTTTTTAATGAGGAGAATGTGGATTTATTTTCTACTCGCCCTGTTTGGCGTATTCGACTTCGCAATGGCATCCAATAATTTCGATTTTGGAGACACCCTAGCGTTAATCCTGGGATTAACGATCGCGATTATTGGGTTTTTTGCTTGCATGGGAGCTTACGCAAGGAGACGAAGTCATTTTGAGTCCTTGTAAAAATTTGAATTGTAATCTTATTAAGTACATCTAATGGTAAGTACACACCTTAATATATGGAAAATATATTTGATGACTTTTGTATGATAAAATGTTAAATGTTAAATCAAGTTTTGATATGCAAATTATAAAATTATACAATGATATAAAAAAAAGGAATAGAAAAAATATTAATATTCTTATATTACATTATATTACAAAACCATTATACCAAATATTTATTTTATGTATGTAATATATTAAAATTAAAAATCTTTTCTTTTCTTAAGAAAGTATCTGCATTCTGCATTATTTGAAGTATATATATATATATATCAATAGTTTTTATATTAAATTTATTATATTTTTTATAATAATATAATTGTTTATATGTTCTTCACATAAAATGTAACACTTTTAAAATAGCATTTGAAGATATACTTGTTTTAATTTGTTATAGATGCAGAAATAATATCTTATTCTATTATATAATTATGGAATAAAAGGAATCTATTGTGTAAGAAAATATGATAAATAAAAGAAGAGCATTTTGTGAAATTTTCTATATATGTAAAGGATAGTTTTTAGAAATTTTTGGAAAATATGTGTTGAAATATAACAATTTTGCAGAATTTGAATATAATATATATTCTGTATGTTTCTATTGTAATAAAGAAAATATTCATGACAAATTGTTCTTTTATTTAGATATTGCATGTAAGAAAATGATAATCTATAATACATGTCAATTTATTTATTTCACTTTAAGTTTACAATTGTTGTTAGTGATTTTAACATTTAATGTCTTTTGATAGTGACTATTATTAAAATTTCTATTTGTTTTACAATATTATATTAGACATAAAAATAAATGATTAAAATTTTTGTTTTGATAAAAATAGTAATACCTTCAATAGATTTTATTTAAAAAAATTAACTGATTCTTTCATTGTGCATTTAATTACATAATTAATGCATAATAATTATTTAATGTTGTTTTTATAATATTTCTTTACGTTTATGGAATCTTGTTTATATCATATCTTCAGTTTAAGTTCTTACATTTTCTCATTTCATTTTCGACTAGAATTAATCTTGAAAAACTAAACTCTTAATTCAACAGATAATATAATGGAGCATTATGTTATATGTTATGCAAATAGATATTAATACACATTTTGAATTTCTATGAAAATGGAATATATGTATTACATTTCTTTCTCTCTCTCTCTCCTTTTATTCCTAAATATATATATATCTTCCTCTTTCAAATACTGGATATTTTTTCACCTTTTTTGGAATATACAATTAATCATTTGATACAATAATATAAAATGGAAAGAAAGATTATTATTTTTTCATATAAATTTAAATATATAGTTTTCGAATGAAATTTTATATTCAGCTTGAAATTATCAACTATTATTTCTCGTTTTACATCTAATCAGTCTTTAAACCTTTCCACAAGAATTCTTTCTTTGATGTGTTTTTAAAGATTTCCAAAATATTTGATTATTTCACATCTTAATATGTAAAAAACAATCTCCATTTATTTTTTATTTTGAAGAGATTTTGAAAAACAAAAAGTGTATTAAGGACATAAAGTTATTTTTAAGAGTATTTACATGCAAAATAATCATATAATTATACAACGTTTTTAAAAATACTTGCATATTTTAAATATTTTGAAAAATTTGAAGCCAAATTAAGATTCAATTAGAGATTATATTATACATAAACGATATATATGCTCTATATTTATGTCACATAATATATCTTTTATTAATGAAATCAATGGCATAACTTTATTTGATTGTATATCCAATATTTCACACACTTTCCTTATTTTTACATCTGCAATATTTACAAATAAATGAAAATTTGTTATTCATGGGATTAACGATCGGGATTATTGTTACTAACAATTATTTGAAATCAATTTAGAATCAATTGTACATACATATAATTGTACATATAATTGTATATATTGAAGAATATAAACAATTATTGATCATCACTTGCTTGTATCATTCTTAAAAGCAGAGTATTCAGAAAATATGCTATACAGCATTTCAAATTTATCAAGTTTAATTCTCTCAAACCTGCCATCATAATAAACGAATTCAGTATAAAGTATAGAGAATTTTGTTAATATTACTTAATATTTTCTTCAGCAAAATAACGAGTTTTACATTTATAAAAGAGCATAACGATATTCTTATTTTTTACATGTTCATGTATATGTATGTACATGGAAAAAATTATACCATAAAATATTTTTTTGAAAATTTTTTTTAAAAACCATTCTTCAGATATAAAGCTTTGTTTATTAATTACTTACTCTCCGTTTCTTATAGATGGCAACAAAATTTGACAATGATAAGTAAAAATGACATGATAAGTAGTTATTATTAAATTACACGACTGAGATTTGTTAGATGTAATGTTAGCTGTAACTTTGATATGATTCAAAAAGAAGGTATATATATAACGTTTATGTATCATGAGAAAATTAGCGAAGAAATTTCGCAGAAACTAGAGGTTCAATTGAAACTATATCTATTAAACTTATATACTATATATATGTGTATGTATATGTATGTATGTGTGTGTATGTGTATATATATATATATATATATATATATATATATATATATATATGTATATATATATATGTAATAACAGACGAGTACATATATGTCGTCTTTTCTGATTACTGTATGAGAAAATAATCAAGTCTCAAGTCAGTGTAATATAATAAACTATTGCAATTCTTATAAAAAAATGGATTTTAACATAACATTGTGACAAAAGCATCAAAAAGAAGCCTTAATTTACTTAAAAGAATTAATGTTTGTGCAAAATTATCAGTAATAAATTTTTTAGTCACGAGTTGTGTGTATTGGAGTAATTTTATGAAGCATTTCTCTCTCTGAATGATAGTTGTAGCAATATGATAATATTGATAACTAAGTATAAATCCCGTAAATAATCTTGAATATTATATAAATAAAAATCTATAAATGAAAAACGGAGATGATTATGAATTGCATTGTTAATTATTCAATTGTTAATTAAAATTTTAATTAAATATTTCACACCAGGAATGGCATGTCATTAAGATTATCAAACTAAAAAATAGGAAGTTTTAATACATCCTCTCTAATATGTGACAGTAATATATTGCTCAGATCGATTAGAAAGGGTAATGCTCGATTTGTGTCAACATTCGTCAACATAATATCTATACCAAAATGGCATCAGAAATTTTTCAAAATTACACTATATTTACGTGTGTCAAAATAAACAATGGTAGTTAGAAGGTTACTACCAATTTTAAAAGAAGACATAATCATCAATAGTAAACGAGATATATATATATATATGGGTTTGCTAACTAGTAACACATGACTTTTCTTCTTTAATTGAAATAGGCAAAATCGCTAGAAATACATTAAAGCATAACAGTGACTATATTACTCATATTTCTCTCTCTGTCTCTAATTACTTCTGATACATACATATTTGCACAATCGTATGCATACATACAGAGACACATTCGCACTATACATTCATCGTACATACATACATATATTCATTCTTTTCTCTTCTCTCCTATTTCTTTCATTCTCTAACTTTCCATCCATTTTTGCTCTTTGTCCCTATCACTTCCGCTTACTCAATCTCTATTCGCTTGTTTCTGGACACATTCAAGCATACAGTAACATATACATATATATCGCGAGCAGAATGGCCATGTGCCATCACGATCGTAAGACTAGCGGAGGCCTGTACTAATGAGCTGTGCTACCAAAGGAATCGAGTGATTGAGTCTTTTAGAGATCTCAGCAAAGGAAGATTTTTCTTTTTCTTTTTTTTTCCTCTTTTTTCTCTTTAATGCATTTCAAAGCACAGTACATGTAAAGGCCTCTATCTCAAGTTCCTGTGTTACATTCGGAAAAATTTAGATATCGTTTCCTTGTCGCAATATTTTCCCACATGATTTCTCCTTCATTTCCGCTGCGAGGCACATATCAAAGTAATATCATGCACACGCTCAGATATATAGCGAGAATATTTGATATCTTATTTTAATATACGCAAGGACGTCGTACACATCGAAAAACATTATATATATTTCCATTCACGCTTTTTTTTCTTTTTTTTTTTTATTTTTAATCCGTCTTCACACCTTCGTAGTAATGTCTAGCAACGCGAGGCGCGCGCATTTCACAGCAAATTATATATTTGAGTTACATTCGCGATGATAAAATACGAAACCTCGCACTATAGACGATATCGAACGCATTAAACTAAGAATGAGCACAGATCGACCGGAAAAAATATAGAAGCGTATGAGCAGAGTATCGCATTATTGATCCAAGGGGGGAACCGTCGAATTTTCGGCGGCGGTGGTCGAATAATGCGACTCCGCCGTTGGAGGCGTATCGTTATCGCGCGAAGAACTTACTATGTGAGACACGGCGGGGGTCGCCGGTTGAGATGGAGTCGTTCCGGCAGGTGCGTATATCAGCCGATACCCAGCTGGTAAGAAGATACCGCCGTGGGGTGTACAGCTGAAAGCTTGGAAATTCGGCAACGGCTGGCCTTCGTGATATTGAACATAAGTCGAATTAGATATCGACAAGGGCGTGGGTACAGTTGTCGACGAAATATTCCCTCCTTCAGACAATATAGGAGCGAATTGGTACTGCGTCGGATTGCAAACTGCCGTGCTATGAATCGAATCGATTCCTTCGGATAAATCATTCGAACAGTTATTACTCTGTTGAGAGACTACACTTTGCATATTTTCGGAAGGCACTACTGGAATTGGGATAACATAAGCATGCGGTATTCCAGCCGATGCCTGCTGAGGTTGAAGCTGCAACGGGGTTTGTTTCAATTTTTGCATGGCTAACCGTAGAGTCTCATCTGTGTCTGGATAGTTGTTCGGTCCTTTCTGCAATGGAGTTTGGGGTGCAGTGCTGAACATAAAATAGTCTTCCGGAATTCTAGATCCTATCGAATGATAAAATGTGATACTTTATTTATTATCACATATACACACACACACGTGCATACATATATACATATACATACATACATACATACATATATATATATATGTATGTATATATCTTATGTATATAATTCATTATATGTATCTATGATGTAAAATTGATATTAGCATTACTAACCAGAAATATTTGTGGCAACAGTGTGGTAAAGTAATGCTGGGTGATGCTGATGTTGATGTAGTGCGCTTGCTTGTTGCTGCTGCTGAATAAGTAATTGTAACTGATGCTGTTGGAAACGTTCCAACTCTTCTCTATGTCTTTTTTGCAATGTTTCCAATTCCAGAGTTTGCCTATGTACAACAAAAATATTGTTTTACATTGCAAAGAATGGACTTTACTTAGGAATAAATTTCTCTGTGATATAATTTTCATTTAATATGTTTCAGATAATATAATATTTGACTAATGCATCAAAGGCAAAATTCATATTTTCTGAATGTCAAATTTAAATGTCAAATTTCAGTTAATTTTACCTTTTTATAAGCAATTGATATTCTTCACTTGGTGTAAGAACGACAATTCTTTCTTCTTTTTCAGGCTATAAAGACAGATAATTGTCAGGGATATTTATTAAAATTTTTCGGAGACTACTTTACTGATTTTAATAATATATTACAATAATTGTATAATGACTTAATTTGTCAATAATAGTAGTTATATGAAACTTACTTCAGCACTTAAAATATTAGTACCATGAGCTGTTTGAACAATTGGCGGAACAGAATTCTCTCGACTATGAGGTACTTGCATAGGTACACCTGTAATTAATAAATATCTGTTGTACTATATATATAAATATTATTTATATATAAGATTTTTTACATAATCTTACATATGTGTAAGAAATACCTAAATATAATAAATTTAATTATTTTTATTTATCAGAATTTTCTTACCATGTAGATCATCTGTCTGATGAACAGTTTGCCGTTCTGAAGTTTTTAATTCTTCCATTTGTTGCAATTGAGTTCGCGCAGCGTCAGTAACCTGTTGTTGATTAATAATATTATGAGCAGGTGGACCTGCAACTTTGGAAACTACGAATCTCGATACTTTTCGGATAGGTTGAGCAGGATTTACCTTCTGCAAAATTTATATTTTAACATTTATTTTTAATATATTTATTTTATTAAAAAAATATATGTGTGAAAAATAATTTTTCGTAATGTCATAACTTTATTATATTTCAAAAAAGTTGCGACGGCAATTTTGCCCAAATATTGCTTAAACAATTACATTGAACAACAAATACATTGAATAAATATTATGAAAAAAAAATATCGATTTAGAAAAGAAAATTAGATTTAACAAATTAGAAATAACAAATCTGGGAGATATTTTATATTTATATATGAAAATATTCTTTTTATCAATAATACATTCCTATTATATGATATGTATCAATAGTACATTCCTGTTACATGATATATAAATAATATTTATGAAAAGAATTAAAATTCAAAGAATAAATTATAAGAAAATTACAAGATAGTGCAAATTACCTCATTACTACTATCTTGAAGTTCGGGTTGAATTGGAGTATTGGTACCAGATCGCGGTGTTACAACATTAGAAGCGATAGTTGCCACAGGTACGCTAGTCGACACTGGCAGAGCAGTTGTTAATAAATTTTGGGCAAGTTGTTGCTGCGTTTGTATAGATATAGGCGGCGTTAATGGCTGTGTCGGAGGTGCCGCGAAAACTGAGCCTCTATGATGTATCTTTGCCAATTCTTGCTCTAATTCTTGCAAACGGGATCCCGGTCTTTGAGCTCGTACTTTAACATTCTCTTTACTTGGACTCATAGTTTCGGGTGCTACGGGAGCTACTCCCGGTGTTGGACTATCAAGAGAACATTCCACATTCTAGAAACAAATTTTATGTAAAATCATTTCAAAGATACCAAGATTTGCACATTGTGTGTATAAAATGCTCACAGTTTGAGAAAGTGTGCCAGAACTTTCCTGAATTATAGCAGAGCCTTCAACAGTAGCATCACTGACTTGCGTATCAGTAAGAACAGTAGAGGAATGTATCGTTGTCTGAGGAGATAAGGGGCATGCGGCAGCATTTGTCGATGAGACTGGCACACCGATATTAAACAGTTTCTGCTGCAAAGAATGCATGTACGTATCGTGTCCCCCGACTATTTGATGATTATGAGGCGTAGCAGGATAGCTTATAGGTGGTGTACCGACATTTAATGCTTCCGATGGCTGACTAGTTAATTGTACGAGTTTCTGATGCAAGTCGGCTATGGTTTGCGGTCCTGTACTACTTCCGATACTTCCGACACTGCTTATATCCGAAACTTTGTCCAACGAATTCTGTTGACTGAGTTTGCGATGCTGCTGCTGCTGTTGTTGCTGTTGTTGTAGTAACTGTTGATGTGGTTGCGACAATTGTTGTAGAGTCGATGTAGAATCGATGGATTCAATAAGAGTATGCTCGGGTGTCACGTCGTGACTCGAATTTTCATTCTCGGATGTAAGTAATTGGCAATCGGAACTAGTGCGACGTATGCTAAAATGATAAATTAAAATTTAATAAAGAAATATATTTGTTATGTTTTCCTATTTTATCTATCAAAAAATATGAATAAAAATAAATTACGCACCAATTTAAATTTGAAGATTCCAAATTTTCAACCTCTAAAAGTTTTGCCGGTTGCTGATCTGGAAGCTTTAAATGTAAGTGCGATTGATCTAATACGATGGAAGATTCGCTATGCTGGTCTTGCATAGTTTGCTGTTGCATTTGAGGTTGCATCGGGATTTGTTGCAATTGATTTTGGAACGGTTGATTCGATTGCATATGTCGTAACATCGACTGCTGCTGTTGTAGAGAATTAGATTGATTAGTTGAAATAAACCACTTTCCTTGAGCTTGTCCTGTTACAAGATTTGATTGCATCATTTGCGATTGTAAATCAATCTGTTGTGGGATTGTTAACGGAATTGATTGCAGTGTTGGTTGTGTTTGATTTTGATGAAGCAATTGCTGATTTGGGAACGTTTGTTGAAAGTTTTGCTGTCCCTGATATCCCTGATGCACAATCTGTCCTTGATAATTATGTTGAATGGGTGGTTGAATCTGCAGCTGACTTACTTCCGGTTGTATAGGTTGAAAATATTGCTCAGATTGTATGGGTTTATAGTCGACTAACGTGGGGGCAGCAACAATAGTAGGATTAGGCATGGCGGGTGGTTCGTGGCTGTTAGTTAAAGGATGAGGCGTAGCGGATTTGGATTTAGGATTCGAAAGTATGTTTGCCAAATTTTGCGCGAGATCTGGAAGTGTCGATGATACCTCTTTCGTCTTAATCTTAGACGTAGAAACATCCGGATGTACGGGAAGAGGTACTGGCATAGACTGCGGAACTGCAGTGCCCAAAGCATTGTGCTGTACATTCTGATGAGTGGTTTGAAGCGTTTGTTGAGCGGTTTCTACACTAGCACTTTGTTGCTGCATCGGCATTGTATTTGGCATATCTTGCGAAACAACCTGTACATGTTGCATATGCGCTGCTGCAGGCATATTAGTTGCTGTTACCACAGTTTGTCTCTTTTCTTCAGGTATACTGGACGATTCTGAAATTTGAGAATCCATAGATACATTAGACGCGGTAGATATATTCGATACCCTACGATTTCGATCATCGATATTCGGTTGTATCGACTGCATGTGTCCCGACAATATCACATATTGTTGCGTCGATGGTTGCTGCTGCTGGACAAACTGTTGTACTGTTGAAGCACGCTGAGCTTGTTGCATCTGGCCCTGATGTTCCGCTTGCATATGCGGTTGTATTACATTCTGTTGTATAGGAATTTGTTGTTGTGGTTGTTGTTGCATCACAACAGCAGGAGATTGTTGTATTATCGTCTGATTCGGATATTGCGTCTGTGTCTGAGCTATTGCATTCGTATGAAGTGGCTGGAGAGGCTGCAATTCCTTCTGTGAATTTACTGGTACAAAATGCTGCATGTTGCTGGTTTGAGGCATTTGCTGAGATGTTTGTTGTGAACTTATTGTGGCTCCTTGTACAATTATAGTATGCTGCTTCGATTGATTGATGGTCGTGGTTTGTTGCATATGTCCCGTTACTTGTTGCACAGTTTGTACTTGGATAACACTTTGTTGCAGCCCAAGCGGCTGTTGTCCCGACTGTTGTCCCGGCTGTTGTCCCGACTGTTGTCCCGGCTGTAAAATCTGTTGAACGCTATCCGTTTGTTCCACATTTGTATATGGAACTCCTTGAACAACTGTATTTTCATTACTGCTGGCTTGTTCATGAAGATTCATACTCTGAATCTCTGAAACATTCGCTTCTACAACGTGTTCCTCATTTTTTAATACAGGTTCCGCCGCAGATGCAATGGATTGATTTGACTGCGATGTGTGATTTGCGGCTTCATTAACAGAAGATTCTTCTTCGACTGTGATATTCTTTTGTTCAACTACAGGACTAACTAAGAAGCGAGATACTTTACGTGCTGATGCAGTTGGCACCGTCAAGGTAGATATTTCTGCAACTGCGTTGGATGCATTTGTTTCTTTAGTCATTCCTGATTCTTTTATATCTATTATATCTTGCTGTTCTTGAGATTCTTTTGATCCTTCGCTCACTACTTGACCTGTGCTCATTATTGTATCCTGTTGTATTTGCATTTGAGCATGTATCGTGGAACTTTGATAAGATTTAAAAGCTGAGTTATTAACATCATTTTGAATATTATGATGAGCGTCCACTACTGTTTCTGCAGAAGTTGCAGAAACGGCAGTTTCTTGGTTATCTGTTGGATCGCTTGGTATATTCGTGGGAGTCAAGGTATCGGTGTTTTGCGTAGATGTAGATGATCTCCTGGAAGCTTCCGCCGATGTACTTTCGGCGCCTGTTTGACTATCAGGTGTCTGAGCGATTTGTTGTTTTTCTGAAGTAGTATTGGCAATATGAGAAATAATCTGAT